TCAATGTGATCACAATACCTTTTATTTGCTTGTTGTTTCGTATAATTTGACAAACACCACTTAGTTCCCGAATTCCACGATTTTTGGGTCTTGTTCCATCCATATTTCCGGAACCAATTAATTGATTGAAAATCCATCAATTAAAATGCTACATAATCATGGTACCTTTTGGTGGTTGTTGCGTTCCATTCGGTAGAGTGCTTGATGAAAAATACGTTTAAGTAAACGCGCTCTTACACACACATACACAGACAGACATTTTCTGATCCCGTCATGCTGAGTTGAGACTATTAGAAAAATTATCAAAGTTTTTATAAAAAGTTACAAAACAAAAAAACTCAAAAACGTGAGCTGATAAGGCCAATTGTAAATATACTCCATCATTATTTGATTTGACAGAACCAGAGTACCGAAATTTTTTGGGTACATTGACATTACACTGGAGCTGTCAAATAGCTCCTGGGGTGTTTTTCATGCACCTTACTGACCCTAAACTGAAATTAAAAATTATCACTCGCGATGCCACTCATTTTTGGTCCGGGAGAAAAAATCAAACAACGCGGAATGCGACATCTCCTCGTATGCTTGCAATCATGATGTCTTACGTTTTCTTTCTCGATTCTAAAACTTCCCAGAAAGCGAGAAAACCACCAATCACACACGTATAATTGTCCGGGAGGCAGAGTGCCAGCGCTAATCCGGCGAATGCAGCCAAAAACTATGAAAGCGAACGCACGCACAAAACAGAGAGCAAATTTAAAACACAACATTTCCCTAAGGGGTCCGAAACTGCACTCGCTGTTACTTTTGAACCGTATGAGTAAAATACCTGGAAATTTGAGTGAATCTTATGCATAGTGTATTGTTTACATCTGTCAAGTACAGTAGTTCCAGTCATTTCGTCGACACAAGAAATTATCCGTTAACAAATTTTGTGCACTTAAGCTGGGTTTAGACAGAGCAAGTCAATTGATCAAGTCAGTTGAATTCAACTGACTTGAACACGGATTGAACGTGTAAACCATGCCATTCGACTGACTTGATCTACTCACTTGAATTGAAAAAAGTTGAACCAGGCTCAACTTTTCAAGCCAATTGAATTCAACTGAGTTGACCATTTGACTTGTCTAGTCTAAACCCAGCTTTACAATGAAAATCCAGAGGCGTTCCACTGATGGATCACTAAAAAGCTTGGAATTGCAAATACAACTGTGTCAAGGAGCATTTGAGTGCCCGAAGGAAGTAAGAGAGTGGTCGTAAAACTGGTTCAATGGACACTAAAGTCATAGGACTGCAACGCCTGTCATCTGCGAACAACTCTAGTGAAGCCAAATTTGTCTGGTGCTCTGGTGCTAATTTGACAGCTCCTCCTTTTCCTCTATGATTAAGCTTGGTACATGATGCACCGCGTTGCGGAAAATATATAGAGCTTTCTAGATAACGTTATAGGAAAACATGATTCACTCAAATTGTGCTCGTTAATTCGAAAACAACTAAATCATTTTTTAATTGTCCATTTCGGGGAAGTAAGAATGGTTGCCACCTTGCCACATTTAATGCTACATGGTTGGAGCTTAAATATGATATGGATCACCAGTGCTGCTGATGTTTTCAGCAGTTTCAAGAACTGAATCGCATTGCAGGGGGTTGAATAAAATGGTCCAAACATGTCAATTCGAGATGTCGCTAAAAATTCCAAGGTGTCAGTCGGTTTTGTGCAGAAAACCATGAAGCGTGCTGGGTTACATGTTTACAAGGTGTAAAAAGCCCCAAACCGGAATGGAAAGCAAAACATCACTGCGAAAACCCGCGCCCCGAAACTTTACACGAAGTTGCTCACCAAATCGTGTTGCATCGTGATGGATGACGAAACATACGTCAAAACCGACTTCGTCTACTTCCTGGCCAAGAATATTTCGTTGCCAAGTTCGATGTTCCGGAGGTTGTTCGAAAATATAAATTATCTAAATTTACTATGAAGTTCCTGATCTGGCAGGCGATTTGCGGATGTAGTGAAATAAGCACTCCCTTTCATCACTTCCGGAACAATCAACGGTGCGATTTAAACGGAAGAGTGCCTTAAGAAGCATCTCTTACCATTCATAAGGAAGCATAAAGGATCAACTCTGTTTTGGCTTGATCTAGCATCCTATCACTACGCTCGAAACGAAGTCAATTTTGTATGATATGAACCCATCAAATTCACCTGAAGTTCGCCCAAATGAAAAATTCTGGGCAATTATGAAGACGGAACCTCGCAAACCTCCCAAAACCATTAAAACAGAGCTGAAGTTGAAGAAAATTTTGGTAAAACAAAAAAAAACCCTGAGAAAATCGGTTATCCAAAATTTAATGGGTGAAGTGAAAAGGAAGGTGCGGACATACGGGATGGGAAACGAAATCGAATAAACCAAATTTTGTAAACCATAACTCATTAGTAGTTTTTCATTCCCTGAAAATTTAAAGTAGTAAATATGTGTGTGCCATTTTTATCGAATACACCCTTCCGGGAAAAGATGGAAGAATTTTTCAGGCGATGTTGATGTTGGAAGAAACTTTCGTGCAAAGCCAGATGAAGTTCCAATTCTTTTAAGTAACTTGGGTAAAGATTGGTCACCGGATAAAAAAAATTCCCAATTCCCGGTAACTCCCAGGAAGAGCCATTGACTGTTCCCCGATTCCCGGGTAGTCAAAAATTGCCGATAAATGGAAACACTACTTGGGTCAAACCTTACTTCTCTGGGCATCGTGAGATATCCTTCTTATGTTTGCTCGTAAGAAAATCATTAGCCATTTTATTCACAGTTACTGTAGAACAGAACAAAACCAATTGCAGCCACTATCGTCATCGATTGAATATCCTGAAAGATAACCTGCCCCTATCAACGTCGTATGCACCTGAAGATTTATGGCAATTGCAACCCAACACTACTTCACCACCACCAAAGGTAAACAAACACTTTCCAAGAACAATTTCCACTTCCAGTCAGGTGCGTGGAAATCAACGTTGCACGTGTTCAGCCGCTGGCGGCAGGGTCGCAGTGGGAGGGAGCTCCACTGGAAGCAGCCTTCTTCAAGGTGTCAGAAAAGGACAACCTCATTTACACCTGTTTGTTTCATCAACACCATCAAACAACGACGGTCGATGGGATGGGGGCGGCGCACCTGAAGCTGGAAAATGCTATACCACCCATCATCATCATCATCATCATCATCAACCCTATTTATTCAAAGCATATTCGCACAGCCGTCGGAATCATCATCATCGTCGTCGTCATCGCCCCTGAGTTTGAGCTTCTGGAAGGAAGCAACAAGTTTTGCGTGCAGAGGCGCTTTGATTTGCTTCCTTCCACATTAATGCTGTCGTTTTTCTTCGGGTGACCCTACGCTTTGAACTACTGATTGTTGCTATTTTTATTTTCACCTTACTTTACGCTTTGCTTTGGTTTGGCATGGCACCACACCACTTGGCAGTTAAATTGCTTGACCGCAATTGTAACCCTTTCTCTGTCCAAGTCTCCCTCAAGCGAAGTTTTCCCAGTTGGCAAGGGTTGTAATTGTTGAATCGTTTGATGTGTTCATTAGTTGGTTGTTGGTGATTTCACTTCTTCACTAGAACAAAGGAATACTTTATCTGAATCGAGTTCTTACTTGAGTTTGCTTCCGTTCCAAGACGGAAGCAGTTACTTGCACGATAAATAGCACTTTATCAAATTTCGTTTGAATTCAACATTTATCTCCAAAATATATTTAAATTTAATAGCAATGCTGCAACAATAAATAACCACTCATCTGCGTTGTTTTATTTTTTTTCGCCATTTAAATCCCCCTCCCAAACTATTTGTCTTGGTTGCTGAAAAATTAGATCGCTATCTGTTGCTGCATACTATTACGCGGATCGCAGTAATGGTACTTTAACATTTAACCTGTGGAATTTTCTTATTAAAGAAAAATCTTCCTACCGAAGAAGCACTGACTGCTTGTTGACTCTCGTCGCCTTTCGGGTCAGGGTCAATCGGTCAGTTGTTGGGTGTGGAACCGGTGGACGTGGTGCCGTCCTGGCTTCCTTGGGCAGTGCATGCAGTGCATGATTCTCTAATTCATTTTCTTTGCTGTGCACATTCATCGCGATAAGCAGCCAGCAATGAGTGGGGTTCTTTGCTGAAGAAAAGGGAGTGGAGGGCTAGATGTTTCTTTAGAAAATTGCATGTTTGCGAGTGCTTATGGCCACACCTTGTGATAAAGCTCGTACGAAGAATAGGTTCGGGTACACGTGTACAAGGTTTTATATTTAATGGAAATTTTTAAGGAGTGGGCTGACGGTTTCAGGTACGAACGATAATTTTCAGATGATCAGTGAGTTCCAATTTTAGGAAGTTGTTTGTACTTTTGGGTGATATCTTTTAGCATCAACCCATATTTTTGTCAACAAAAGTTGTAGCTGTTAGTGTGAATAAATCATCTATAAATATGCACCCTTTTTTGTTTACTCCCGAAGGTCGTCTCGACTGTTTTTCCACATGCCACATCCGGTTTATGCAATCAAATTCAAACCAAGTGACCTAATAACCTAACTTTCTACTTCACATTATTCAAAAGCCTAGCCTTCATCATCCCGTCGGACGTCACTTTTGCATGTACATAATATTATTACTTCTAACGGTATCGGACATCATCTCCATAGGATGTAACCTTCGCCAACCTGCTGCTGTTGTTCGACGCAAATGTGCATGTTATTGCTTAATGATAGGGTGTGTTTTGTTGTTATGTTGTAGCGAAAATCCAATCAGCTTATGAATTTGATAATGAGTTAGTTCCGCGTGGCAGGCAAAAACCGAAAACGGTGTTCCATGCAAATACGGAAATAGATTCCTCGCGTCATACAGAATCATTAATCATCGTAACTAAATAACAGAAAAGGGCCTAATCATCATCGGAAGCTAACTTCTCCCACGATATGCTTGAGCTGATATTCACACTCCTATTTTCTATCGTTTCAGGACAATTACAATGTGATACATATTGCTTCCATGTTCTCTAGAGAAGATGTAGTTAAATTACTTTTAAATAAGCGTGGCGTCGATCCATACTCGATGGGCGGGGTAAGTACGACCGTATTTGATTGCAGATCCGTTATTAGATACATATGGCGTATTTTAATATTCCTCGTTTTATAAACCACTCAGCTTGATTATATCCGGTAAAAACGGAAACCCGGAACCGAATCCTGCGGCGAGTTAAAGTAAGGTGAAAAGTTAATTGGTATCGATGATTGGTGAGCTATATACAACTCTACATATAGGTATTTGGGTCATCCATTGTTCCTGATGGTGAGTATTGATATGTTCTAGGCATGAAAAACGTTTTTCCAGGTATCTAAATATGAATATAAAACGTAACAGTGAGTTAGCGTTAGAAAATTATGATATTGGACGAATTGCATTCTGGAATTCTCCTTAGCAGAGCCGCATTCACGTTTATATATAAACCGTTGCGAGCAAAAATGGTAAATGTTCACTAGAGTAAATTTTTCAGAAGACGCTCTTATTCAATATACTCTAATAATAATAATAAAAAAAATACATCAATTTTCTCAATTAAATTGCATAAATACATCGCAAAGGAGTTTCATAAATATAATCATTCAACAAATAACGAAAGCTTGCAGAAAAACTTGAAATTTGTTTGTGTCTGATGAACATGTACCACTTTTAATGCGAACAAAATTTACCGTTAAACAGAAAACGTTGTGAGTTCATTAGATTTCCAGTGCGGAATAGCTCGTGAAATTGGAATGTTACCGTCTTCATCAAAGTTTTTCAGATGTTATACAGATTAATTCAGAATTCTCTCATGTCGCTAGCGTTCATATGATCTTCCTGCATATGCTGCAATATCTTAATATCCTAACTGTGTAAGAAGATGCTATCTTCCAAAGTCGTTCAACTGATAAAGGCCCTTAGAATGCTAGACTCTGAACTATCTCACTATGATAAAGGAGCACGCTTTTGGTGGGTGCTCTCACTCTTCGAAGGGTATAAATAGCGTGACGTTTCTATAAGAATCCATTCCTTGCAATGAAGGCAAAAATGACACCTGTGTCAAAATCGAATTCATAACTTCTCAATAGTACACTAAACTAAGGAGACGGGATATACTATAATAGATCAAATTACTGGTCACATAGATTTAAGGCCCGAACAGAGGAAAAAAACGCACTATTCAGTGCTTCTGTGCATACTAATGTACAGTTAGCAGCGCCGGTGGTGTAGTGGTAAGCGTGATTGCCTCTCACCCCAGCAGGCCTGGGTTCAATCCCAGTCGGCGCCACCGGGATGTTCTGAGGCATAACATCTCTGATCACGCCTTCCTTCGCAAGGGAAGTAAAGCCATGAGTTTGATGGGTCGATAGGTAGGGTCCAGGTGTGGGAGCTGCCTCCCTGGCGTCGGTAGCATTGGTGCTCAGCACGGAAAACAAGATCGATGGAAAACAAATCAAGGTAAAAAATGTACAGTTATCCCTCCATATATGTGCATAATACAGACTGCATATAAGGAAACCACATGGGGCTACGGGATGCAATATAAGCCTAGCCCCCCACGGATACAAATTTTGTTCATTTAAATAGACATATGAATTATTCAAAGTTAATGGAAAGCATGGAATATTTTTGTTTCTTTGATTTGTTTTCCGTCGATCTTGTTTTCCGTACTGAGTACCAATGCTACCGACGCCAGGGAGGCAACACCTAGATCCTACCTATCGACTCATCAACTCATGAACCGGGGACCAACGAATTTACTTCCGACGTGATCAGAGATGTTATGCCTCAGTAAAATATTTATGTTTGAATTAAATTAAAAATGTATATTTCAACAATATCTCTAAATCAATTGTATTCGACAGCTTTGTCGCCGACGTATCTGTGTTTGACCGACAATGATCTGTTTCTCACCCGGGACGTCCCAGCGAAGGATTTAAAACACTGGGTTCCAAAAGTGATCTGAGACTCCTGGTCAGCTGATTGGCTTCGTTCAAGGGATACTTTCATCCAACAGATCAAGGAGTTCACACATAAGTGGAAGGACCCACGAGAACACCGAATTCAGATCGTGATGTCTCGTCTAAGAACTTCTCCGGAAACGGTCATTTCCGCAGGATCTGTGACATCTAGCATGTTCCACACACGGTAGAGTACAGTCAGGAATCCTTATTGCCGGGGTAACGGGGGTGTGGATAACGAATCTCGTTTGTTTCAATATATAGAGCTATACCCAACAAACAATCGTCTTTTGAAGAAACGACTTCTTGGCCATTTTATTCAACTGCATGCTTAATAGTACTTGTAATATTTTTAATAATAACTTCTGTTCAGGCTTTGTTCACACAAATCTGGAAAATTTACACGGAAACAAATCCGATTCCATTTTCATGAATAAGAAATCATGAAATGAAAAAAACCTGCCATCCCATGAAATCGTAACAATGATTCATGATTTCGCCATGGAAATTCATGATTTCATAATGCAGTGGAATCAAGACCGCTACAAGCGTTACACGTACTTGGCAAACCGTGTTCATAAACCACACTATATATGTATCTCTTATACACCTTTTGTCTGTACTGATAGTCTAGTGTTCAAAGTATGGATTTAATGATCTTAAGGTTCTTCGTTCGAATCCAGTGTAATGCTTTATTTTATTTTTTAACATTTTTTGGTTAAAAGTTAAACCCATGAATTTAGCTCATGATTTCAACTCATGATTTTGGAAATGTTTGCTGCGTTACGCAAAAGTTGCTCATGATATCATGAATATTATTCATGGTGTATTTTCATAACATGAAAATACGCTGTGTTCATGAAATCATGAGTCATTTATCTCATTTCGGAGATCGGATTTTTTCCCGTGTATTCAACCACAACATTGAACTACTTGCTGTTGTATAAGGTATGTCGAGAAGCTTTTATTCGACTTATATGAGTTGTAACAGAGTTTATTAGACATCACTGCTTCCTTATAACAGTTATGCTCTGTATACGCTTGATTCTTATGTGAAGTAACGTTTAATGAGACATTATTACACGGGAAAAAATCCGATCTCCTAAATGAGAAAAATGACTTATAATTTCATGAACACACCGTATTTTTTATGTTATGAAAATACACCATGAATAATATTCATGATATCATGAGCAACTTTTGCGTAACGCAGCAAACATTCCTAAAATCATGAATCATCCGAGTTGAAATCATGAGGCAAATTCATGGGTTTAACTTTTAACCAAAAAATGTAAAAATAATCAAACAAAACATCAGACTGGATTCGAACCAAGAACCTTGAGATCATTTAACTCATACTTTGACCAATAGACTCTCAGTAATTGTATAAGTTGTAATACAAAAGGCGTATAAGAGATACCTATTTAGTGCGGTTTATGAACACGGTTTGCCAAGTACGTGTAACGCTTGTAGCGTTCTTGATTCCACTGCATTATGAAATCACGAATTTCTATGACGAAATCTTGAATCATTGTTACGATTTCATGGGATGGCAAGTTTTTTTCATTTCATGAATTTTTATTCATGAAAATGGAATCGGATTTTTTTTTCCGTGTATACATTTATTAAACGATTATTCAACTGTGAAAAAAAAATTAACCCGAAAATAAGGGGGACGGGGACAGGGAAGGGTGTGTTTCCTTATGTGATTATTTTCATTATTTCTGACATGGCTCGCATCACACAGATATTAGAAAATTTATTAAATACTTATACATATGTCGTTGCATGGGATTCGAGAACCATGTACCTTCCGATAACCAGCCGCTTGACTTGTCATCTGAGCTATCCTAGAACTCATTATATGGGCAACTCAATAATCAATAAAAGCTTGCTTGAAAGTAAATACCTGTCAGCACTCTCGATCGCAACTCTAGAACCTTCAATGCCATGTGGGAATGATTAAATCATTCATCGTTGTTTTAAAAAAGAGACCAATGTTACTTATTCACCTCTCCAAGTCAAAAGAAAGGATGCTCTGTTATATTTTAAACTAGATCAATGCATTCATTGTCATGAGTCTTGTGATCGATGTTTACTATTTAAATTAATTAGACGTAGAACACGAATAAAAAAAAATTGAGCCTGGGGATTAAACTCACGACCTTCTACTTGGAAAGCGGAAACGGTATCCACGACTCTACTGATTTCGTCTTGTAGTAAAACTGAACCCAGGTTGTCGAATAATGAATCTACTATGTCGTTTATAAAGCATTTACAAATCATGTGATTACAACATGGACGCATAGTGATATAAGAGCTATTATGCTGAATGTATTCACCTTAATTCAGCAATATTGTAAAGCAATGCAATGAAATCTAATATTGGAGCTAGAGAACATTTATTAGACGTCTAATAAAGCATGTTATTAAATCACTTGAGAATAGTCGAATTAAAGTTTCAATGTATGTACAAATTACACATATTCAGTTTGTTATTAGATCATACTTTTGGCGTTGAATTGGGAAGTCATTAAACGCTTTTACAGCTTTTAATAAGTAAATTAATCAGAACAGAGCAAACAGTGGAGTAAAAGTGCATCTATGGATCTCAATGAGCTTTTTCAGCACATAACTCGACAACTCGTTTTGTTCAGCATTGGTTGTTATTCAGCATTTATTCAATATATATGCTTATTTGTGACTCTGAATTGTTTGTTGGGTACTGTCTTCGACAAAGTTGTTGTACTGGGATAGACCAACAAGCCTGTGTCATTGGATTCAGGTTTAATTGGCTTCACTTTTATGTTACTTATAACGGGCGCTATAACGGGCGATGGTGGCCATATTATTTCAGAACTCTATCACTATGCAGTGCTAGTGTGCATGTGAACTTCCTACATAAACTGTATCTCGAGAGCCTGGCCATATAGAACGTTGTTGTCTTGAGCAAAGTTGTTCAGGTGATCAAGTCCTTTCGGTTGGTTTCGGTCATATTATCTAAAAACTCTCTCACTACGCGGCGCTAGTGTGCACATGAACTTCCTTAATATGTTATGTCTGGAGAGCTTGTCCATAAAAGATGTTACTGTGCAATGC